TCCTTTTAGTACACCTACCTGTTATCTGTGTTATCAATCATCCCAATCTCAGTACCAAAAACAACAAAAAAAGAATATTTCAAATCTATTTCAYCTAAAGAATATAATGGTGTGGTAGGGCCCTGACCTGCCACGTTATGATGTGCCACAATATAAATTTGAAGATGAAATTCTGCAAAAAGCAGTAACTCTTAAAAAAAACTAAAACCACAAGAGGGTATTTGGAAGAAGCAGCTCAATCCAGTCATCYTGTTGAATAAATAAAAGGACAAGCATATGTGAGGTGTGCCACAGTACTGTGTTTTACTAACTGATTCAGTTTTAAGTTACAGATTTGTCGCCCTGGTTTCCTCAAAAACCTCGTTCTCCTCATTTTGAGCAGCTGTTGTTCATAAAACAGAATCTGTTCGCAGTTCATCAGAAGCAACAAACAGCAGATGGACAAAGTTACAGTAGCAASTGGCTGCTGCACATATTTCTGAGCTTGAATTGAAGGCACCTGCACTCACAGTCTGTTCTGCTTTACTCACCAGTTCCAGAACTAGATACTGAGCTTACAGTTTGGAACATCGTCYTGACTTCAAACAGGGCTGTCTCTGCTCTGAGTTATGTCATGTTCAAACACTTCCTCTGAGCTTCATTCTCAATGTCAGATCCCACAAAGACAGGTGTGGGCAAGATCTGGTGTCAAGCTGGCACTGCTGGTGGCAAGTGGTTTGTCAACCAGATGTGGGCCAGGTCTGAATGATGGCACTGTTTTTAAGATACCAACACAACTGGCCCAGTCGTGGTTTGGTTTATGTGGCCCTAACTTGTCAAGAKCATATCTGGTCCAGATTGTGGTTTATGTGGTGCTAGCCTGACCACCTCTGGTAAACCACYTTAGTCACCAAAGGACAATCATTATTTGCAGTATCTGGACAGTGTTAGTGCACTCTATGGGCCGGAACTGAGGCTGTGTCCAAAACGGCAGGACGGGTCCTCCGAAGGCCGAATTCGTCAGCCACATACGTCACAGCGCCACGACGAAGGACGTCCCAAAC